CTATGTGCTGTATCTACTAATTACGCTCTATATACTATGTGCTATAATAATTACTATATATTATTACTTTATTATGCGATGTAACTTAAATGAAATATCGACGATCCTATTTTGGATCGTGACAATAGCTATAAATTAGGTTAAATATTAATTGCTTTTTTTTTTTTTGTATAAATTGCTTGATTCTTTACTTAATACTAATTTTTTTTTTTTATTACATAAATATGAGTCAGAAATAAGTCTTTGCATAGTTACAAATTAGGTCAAGTATCAATTGCTTCTTTTTTTTTGCATAAATTGCTTGATTCTTTGCTTAATACTAATTTTATCTTTATTTTTATTACATAAATTCAAGTTAGGAATAAGTCTTTGCATAGCTATAAATTAGGTCAAGTATCAATTGCTTCTTTCTTTTTTTGTATAAATTGCTTAATTCTTTACTTAATAATAATTCTATCTTTATTTTATTATATAAATACAAGTCTGAGGTTGGGTCCCATAGCTTAGTTGTTAAGCTCTCATACCTCTATAGACAAGGTTAATGGTTAATGTTTGGCTGGAGGTAAAATACTCTATAACCAAAAATGGAGCCTATAATTAGATGTGAAGCCCTGTGGAAGTCCAAGTGAAAGTACATATTTGATCTAAGAAATTTCTGAAAGGAAACCAGTATGGCAAAGTGCAGGCACTACTATAGTGAGAAATGTGAAGAATGTCATCAACGTTTGTGGAAAGAATTGGCCTTACCTAATATGGAATCACCTCTGGTGTCATAAATCCAAATAGGTATAGCTGTAGGATCTACTTCCATTTGGTAGATTTTGCATTGAGGGTAAAGTAGCCCTAAGGTCTGTTATTAAAATATTAAGTTAGTACTATAGAAAAAACATTGAAAATCAAAAACTTTAAATAAAGAACTCACAGGCAGGTTTCAGGTATAGCAATTAGTAGGTAACCTGTAGGCAGAACCTTTAAATAGACTATAACTAAAGTTGTATGAGTGGCTAATTGTAGCCTTATTGATATGCAAAATGTAATACCTCTCTACAATATTTGTAGATTGTAAGTCTTAATAAAAGATCACAAGCCATAGACATCACTCTTTAAACCTAAAAAAAAAAATAAATAAATAAATACAAGTTTGGAATAAGTCTTTATGTGGCTATAAATTAGGTTAAGTATTGATTGTTTCTTTTTTTTTTTGCATAAATTGCTTGATTCTTCACTCAATACTAATTTTATCTTTTTTATTATCATATAAATTCAAGTTAGGAATAAGTCTTTGCATAGCTATAAATTAGATCAAGTATCAATTGCTTCTTTCTTTTTTTTGCATAAATTGCTTAATTCTTCACTTAATACTAATTTTTTATTATATAAATCTGAGTTAAAAATAAGTCTTTGCATAGCTACAAATTAGGTCAAGTATTAATTGCTTATTTTTTTTTTATATAAATTGCTTGATTCTTTACTCAATACTAATTTTATTTTATTTTTTATTACATAAATTCAAGTCAGGAATAAGTCTTTGCATAACTACAAATTAGATCAAGTATCAATTACTTTTTTCTTTTTTTTTGTATAAATTGCTTGATTCTTCACTCAATACTAATTTTATTTTATTTTTTATTATATAAATCTGAGTTAGGAATAAGTTTTTGCATAGCTATAAATTAGGTCAAGTATTGATTGCTTCTTTCTTTTTTTTGCATAAATTGCTTGATTTTTCACTCAATACTAATTTTAATTTTTTTTTTTATTATATAAATCTGAGTCAGAAATAAGTCTTTGTGTAGCAATAAATTAGGTCAAGTATTAATTGCTTCTTTCTTTTTTTTTGCATAAATTACTTGATTCTTCACTCAATACTAATTTTTTTTTATTTTTTTATTACATAAATTCAAGTTGAAAATAAGTATTTACATAGCTACAAATTAGTTTAAGTATTAATTGTTTCTTTCTTTTTTTATATAAATAACTTAATTCTTTGTTCATTTGATACTAATTTAATTTTTTTATTATATCAATTCATACTAATTATTGAATAAACATATTAGTAAAATGTATTGTCAATAAAATGTATTGTCAGTAAAATAAGCTTACTAATAATTTAATCTTGTCAGCAAAATGAATATCAGTAAATTAATTGTTATTAAAATAAGCTTATTAATTAAGTCAGCTTGTCTATCAATTGAGTGTCAGTAAATTGATTGTCTGTAAAACAAACATGTTAGTAAATTGATTATCAGTAAAGTGTTGTGTTAGCAAGTTGATTGTTAGTGAATCAAGCTGCACTGCAAATGAACACTTCTAATATTTATAATAATTGCATTATTATAACATTGATACAAAAAATAATTATTTTCATATACAGTTATTAAATTGCAAAAATTACAGTGATGCTTTTTAGTACATTTTCCATTTTGCATGCAAGAGGCATTAGAATAAGCAGAACCACATAGACCATGTATCATTAAGCAATAAATAGTGTTATAAGCCATAAGATGTAAATTTTTATCTGAAAGTTCAACTAAAATTATTAAATTATAATCTTCAATAGTTTTAGATTTATTATCTATATCAAGAATCAACAGAATATATGAAAGAAAAAGGCCACATTTTTGAAATTCACCTATATATATATAGATCACAACAATTTCAAAAATATAATGGTTTAAAATTAGTTAAAATAAAATAGTTTGTACTACTTTAAGCATATAATTATAACATAGTTACCTTAATCTATCCAATATGCCTACTTTAAGCACTGTAGCATCTAACATATTAGATCTTAATTACTTCTTTGAAAATTATTTCAGCTCCTATAGTATTACAATTTATGAAAAGGAATTAAAAAATATTAGAGCCATTCCTAACAAATACAAGTTTACTAAATGTATTATTATAGAATTGAGAACTCATCCAGCTGCACATTTCTTTTCAGTTCTTTTAACAACTACAACTATTAAGTGTATATTTAGATTATTCCATACTCAATTCATCTTAGAGAACAACAAAACATATAAAATTACTAATATAATTGAATCAACAACAACTAACTCACAAGCTAAAAAACTTTGACAAGCACTTTACAAATTAATATCTAATGTTCTACCATCTTCTTCATCAACTACTCACACACACACTTGTCCCAAATGTCAAATTTTAATTAACTACAAAGTTACCAACAACAACCACAAATTGCAAAATAAAATTATGTTTTACAAAAATGAAGCATATCACAATAACTGTTTTGCTAAAATCTATAATCAAACCAAATCAACCAATCAATTCAAACCTCAACCTATTATTAATACTAAATAAAGTTCTTCTTTACAATACAAGCTTCTATTTTAACAACTAACCAAATCCTTAAATAATAATATTTCAAATAACCCTCTTACTCTTGAATTTACACCTCCTCAAATAATCTCTACAGAAACAACTAATACCAATAATAACATGGATATCGACAACTCCAATCTATTAAACAACAATAACTTCAATACATCAATTAGCAATTTACAACAACAATAACTCTTACATCAAATCTTACCATCACAACAAAAACAACAGCCCAACCAAAAATTATCTTAACAACTCCAACCATCTCAGTCTTATAGTCAAGTAATAAGACCCAAGCTTAATCCATCATATGACTTTGTAGCAAACTTTTCAGTTATAGATGAAATGCAGAATTATACTAAACTACAAACAGAGTTATCCCATAAACTTTTCAACTTTCTTAAAGAGCATCTCTATAATTTTTATCCAAGAAAAATTATCAAAGAAGCATCTGGCAACTGATATACACTTAAAGCAAGCTTTTATATATTAATTAGACAAATGGCTGATGCTAGACCACAATTCCTTATAGATTTAATTTAACAATACAATGCTGACAATGACAAATCTGCTACAATTCTATTTAACATTCTTGAAGAAACATTAAAAAAACTCATCATTATATTTACAACAGTCTTTTTTACCAAACTGAATTATCTAGAAATTTTTGCCTCACCTGCTACTATTCTACCAATTTAAACCTATAATTATTTACAATATTGTATTAATTTTGCCTAACTCCATCTATATCTCTCAGACAATTATCAAGAAATTAACTACATCAAATTTGCAGAAGATATCAAACTTAGACCAAAAAGGTTTAATATTACATCTGAGGTTATTAAAGTTGATAAGCAACATCAATTTCTCTTCATCAAAATATACAACTGATTTAATATCAAACTTAATTTCAATCTTCCTAAAACTTTATTTCTTAAAAAATACTATATACCATTTCTAAAAAATTTACTTAACCATTTCAACAAATAGTTTAAAAAAATCTTCCCTATATACAGTTACCAATTCTCTAATACTATTAACAAAACCAAAGTTTCTAATTATCTTAAATATGAATTTAGACAACATTTCATTACTCATCTCAAAAAACTCCTACCTACTACTGTCAAGTTTAAGAAACCAACTAGTCTTAATGAATGATGTAATGAAACCTTCAAACATGCTAATTATCAAATACTAACTTGCACTGACCCTAAGTGCTCCTATCTTGAGCCAATTACAACTAAAGATAAAAAAAAGAAACCTGATAATGAAAAGAAATCTAACAATGTTCAAAAAACAAATCTCAAGTCACAACTAGTATATAACTTAACAAAACTCATTAGAAACATATTGGATACATCATTCAATACTTATTCAAAAGAAATTAAAGCTTGGAATAAACCTTTTCTTGATGCTTCAATATTCTATATTAAAGAAAAACAGAAAGCCATATTTACTAAACAAATCTCTACTACTGTTTTAGACAAACTAGCAGCAAAAGCAGAAGAATATAACTGTTTACCAATTCTGTTAGAACTAATCCAAAATGACAAGCATTTTACTTTTATCAATACCTAACTATTTATCAAAATACTGCTGTACAAAACTATAATATTAATAAAATAAATAAACAACAGGCTATTAACTGTTTTACACTCAAACTCATTAACACTGTCTTTCTTGGCATATTATTACATACTTTGATTGCACTTACAATGAATTCTTTAACTACTTTACAATAACTAAATTTTACAAAGAAAAGCTTTACCAGAAGATGAAACAATCTTATATAAAAAATTCAATATTAAATTTGAAATACCAACTTCTATTGCAAAGACACTCTTCTTAAAAAAAGAAGAACAGGCTTTTTTTCAGTAAACTTGTCTTCTACAAAATCCATAAATGCAGCCAACATTCTATTAAATAACAAAATCATAGTAGTTAATAGGAAAAATAATATAAGTAGCAGGTGGTAAAGCCTACTTATATAGAAGGCCAGGATTATGATGGTCTGACCCAATGTACAGAGCAGACTATAGTACTTTGCACAGCTATGAGAACTGAGTATATAGTGATTGACCCTATAGAAGACAAACTTAGAAGATCATTATTAACATCTATAATCTTTATACATATTTTAACAAATTTCTTCTTTATTACAACTTATTACTTATTCTATATAACCAAACTATCAATCCTTTATGCAACACATTGACAAATATAACTATAATAAGACTGTTTCTAGCATTACTTTTTCTGTTAGCAACACCTATTATAAAACTCATATATATCTTTAAATAACTCACTCTTATCTAATCATACTGTTATTTATTCTCATCTTCTTCTAATTTTTATAACCTACCTCTTAGATCAAACACCTTTAATCCTACTTCTATCTTTTCCAACTTATTTTTTAATGAGCATACAATACTACAAGTATCTACATCAACACAATCTTTATGAGACCTATATCTAAATATCTGTAAACTTAATGTTAGAGGTTTTAATACAGTAACCAAAAGAGAAGCTTGGCAGAATTATTGTCTTTACAATAATATCCATATTACCTATATTGTTGAAACCAAAATCACTAACACTACTAATCTTCAATTCTATAACAATAACCTATTCTCTTACTTCTGAGCTAACTCTAAAAGCTTGGCAAAAGATACTACTATCATGATTTACAAACATCTACAACTTTATGTACATAATTGCCAAACACATCCTGGTGGAGCAATTGCTTTTGACCTCTTCTTCAAAAGTGAAATCAAATTTCGAATTATAGCTATGTATATTTCTTCTACTGATATAAAAAAATGAAACAAAACACAAAATATAGTTATTATATGGATTCAACAATCCTTTCAACAAAATCTTTATCTGATAATACTTGAAGACTTCAATATACAAGATAACATCTGCAGCTCATTATCTAAATTTCAACTCATTAACTATCTACATCACTCCAACATGTTTGACCTTAGTGTATATGTTGACAACAAGCATTTTATATGATCAAACAATACTAGCCATAGTCATATTAACTATATCTGGACTAATTCATTTAATATTCAAAATTTTTTTTTATACAAACTTGATGATAGCAATACTTTAACATTTAGTGACCACTCTATTCTGACATCTACCTAAATCTTCACTAATGCATATAGCAAATCTTTATGTTATCATACTGGCATTAGTCACAGAATCTTTAACTACAAAGATATGTCAACTAATAAATAGACAGAATTTTCAGATCTCCTTTCTCATAACCTTGACTACACAATACACTACTTAATAGCAATACTAATAAAAATATTGAGACCACTTGGTATAAGATTAAATATTTAATAATTTACACTATGATACAATCTATTTCTAACAAAAAGACTTATAAATGTAGCTATAATTATCAATATTCCTCTCATTCCATCCTACTCTATATATTACTTAAAGAGCTTGAACATCTAATTAAAATTGTTAAACAAACTTACAACAATCTTAATATTAATATAATAAACTCTAAGATTCAGAACATTAACAACAGATCTTATTGCAACCTTCAAGCTTTTAATTCAGATAACTACTTTCAAATTTATACATGGATTTAACATGCACATAATATTTGAAAACAATTATATCAAGCTTGTTATACTGAAAAACTCATTATTACTTTACCAACAAATTCAACAAGCTACAGAAAAGATATGTGAAACACTTATAACATGCTCTAAACAAGCTATAAATAGCATCTTTAACTGATACAAAGCTTCCATCCACTTTTCTAACATTAAACTTCCTAACCAACTTATTACAGATCCCAATATTATTAAACATCATATACAATTATACTTTCATAACTAAACTGCATATCAACTAATTGATCAAGCACTGTATGATAACTCATAACATATGTATTATCAACCACAAACACATGTTAACATCCAATGATACAACTCTCTCAATTCTCATATAACAGAAAAAGAAGTTCTTCAGACATTATCAAAACTTCTCAATGGAAAAATTTGTGAACCTATAGGCATCAGCTATGAAATGCTTAAACATACAGGCATTGCTTGTATTCTAACTATTACAGCTTTATTTAATTGTTGTCTTAGTTCAAGTCAAATCTCTAAACAATAGAAACATAGTAGAATCTATCCTATCCCAAAATGTAACATATTCAATAGAGACTTAAACCTTACTTGTCCTATAAGTCTTATTGAA